TCCCCACCACCCGCGGCGCCATTCAGCAGAAGACGCATGTTTTAACGTACTTCCCGGACGAGGGGCCAGGGGCGGGGGAAAGGGCGGTTGCAGAGCAATCATCTTGCATTTCTACTTGCTGCAGACGCCTGCTCTGTGCGGCTGATGCTCAAAGCGGCACCGCCGCCGCCACCACGGCAGTGATCGCGGCGAGGAGAAGGCTGGATAGAACAACAACAGACGCACAGCCATCGTGGCCACCTTTGCTGTGGCTGTCTTTGCCGTGTTCACCTTTGCCGGGGTCGGCTTTGCCGTGTTCATCTTTGCCGTGTTCACCTTTGCCGTGGTCATCTTTGCCGGGGTCGGCTTTTTTTGGGTGGATGAGGCTGCTGCCGTTGGCGGCGATGGTGCACACCTCCTCGTACCTCGGGCACTTGATCTTTCTGTTTTCCTTGAAGTTGTCTGATTTGGGCGTGATGGACTTTCCCTCGGGGCACAGCTCAAAATCACCCCCGCCAAGATATTTCACCTTCACCTTGCCCCCCTCGCACTGCACCGCCGCACACACCGCGTGTGCGGTGGAATCCCCAATGGAGACATCTTTACTCTTGAACGGGACTGGGTCTGCATCGAGGCACCACGAGCCCTTTCCGTGGAGGGATCCTGGCGGGGTGTCGGTCCCTTTCGCTGTGCAAAAAAGATTTTTAGGAGTATCACGAGGCGGGTGAACAACACTGCAGCTCTCCTTTTCTTCACCGTCGTCTTTAGCAGCATCGCCAGAACATGTCCCGATGGCTTGGCGGGTGGACGTGCAGCGAAGCAACTTCGCATCTTTTTTATCGCAGAACATGCCTGAAAAAGTGGTGGGAGTCTCCTCCGAGCACGGCTTATCCAGGAAGTTGCAGCTGGAGTTCTTGCCCCACGCCATCGGCTCCTCCATCCCCCACACGGCCTTGTAGTAGCCGAGGTCCTCAAACACCGCCATCGTCAGCGCAGTGTAGTAGCCGGCGGCACCCTTACCACGCAGGCTCATCAACTCGTCCTTCGCGTTGCGCAACGACCACAAGTACACCCCATCATGATTGTACAGCTCCATGCCCTTGAGGGTGTCGCAGCCGTAGTGCAGCTTCGCCTTGTTCAGCGTAACAGGTGACTTCACCATCGTCACGGGAGAAGTACTGCCGCGCACACCAGTCTGGTTCAACAGCATGTCGTGCTTCATCATCTGTTCCATGCTGAAGCCAAGAGTAAGGGCGATTGCATGCGCAGTGACGCGAGCAGAGTGCATGACGCCAATCGCATGAAAAGGCACAATATGCAGGGCACCGGAAATTGGACGACCGCCCTCCCCGAACGTACACGGGACAGCCCACGTCCCGTAATTCGACCTGGACGCCACGTAGAGCACCATGTCCGCGTCCGTCACTCCCGTCTTCTGATGCGCGTCGGGGACCTTGAAGTATTGGCAGTTCCCCTCCTTCTCTGTGAACGGCAACACAACAAACGGAGTCTTCACGCGCTGAACGAGCAAACGCTCCGCGTGCAGTCCGACGGCCACAGGAAGAATCTCATCCACAATGGTTTTTATCATATCCGGGGTCAAAACCTCATCCTTCTTGCACGGTGAATTCTGTCCCCTGAAGTCCGGCTTTGTTTCCTTTTCTTTGGTGCAGTATTTATTGGTGTCCTTCAAATCCTCCGTGGACACCGCGATGCGGATGGGCGCCCAGTCACTCTTGCCCTCTTCCTTTGCGGCGACGGTGTACGCCTGCGTTGCGCCCTGCCCCTTGCGCGGCAGCTCACGCACCACCGCGGTCGGCGGCCGGCCGCTCTCCCACAACACCTCGTCGAAGGCACGGGGGTGCGCGGCGGCGAGGCACCCACCGGCGCCGTACATTAACAGCAGTAGGAACACCGCCAGTGCGAGAAACGGCGTGGCGTGAAGTCGACGGCGCATGGCGTGAGGCGAGAGAGTGTGTGTTGTATTGTTGCAAATAACCGTATTAGTAGCACAAAGCTTGTCCGCAGCAGCAGAAGAAAAAGGGAAGGGCG